TCCACAAAGCATTGTCAATTTTCATTTTAACACTGAGTTAGAAATATCAAGTATTGCAGTGATAGATAGCAACACCTAGCTTACCACACATAATCTCTGACCAATGCGTCTGTTGGCTATGTTTGGTTTGTATTGTTCAATGTGCTCTCAACAACTATGCTTTTGTAAGTACAACCTCTCTAGGAATGCAAGGTGAGATCACATATTTTTGAGAGGCTGTGATATCCTTGTAGGCCTCTTACTATGAAACTGAAAATGAATCTATAGTGTTAGCACACTGAAATATACAATCAAAGGCCCCCAGCACACCATCTTGTCACATTATACTGACAAATGGCAAACACGTTGTTACACTTTAATAATACTAAAAAGTAAGCAGAGGGTTTACTACCATGTTTAGAGACTATGGTTTGTCTTGGCCATCAGAGAGAACCCTGGGCCTTCCTCACGGGGCCAACACTCAAATAAAAATCAAAAATGGGGTAATGACAAGCATTCAGTCACATCTGGGTTACCAAATACACCACATAAGATGTTGATTCTAAAATTTTGTATATCGGCTTGATTTATAATGGGTGAACGGTTATTATGAGGTTAGCTCTCCTGATATTAGTTGGTGGCAAAACCACTGATCATCTTGAGGGAGGCCCACAATATGCATCAAGAAAAATTTAGATAAAGTATCTTGCCTAAGTTTAAAAAATGACAGCACAGCAAGACCTGTTGTAGCTAAAGATACTAGCTGCCTGGCATATGGAACAAATCATACACCTTGTGTTGAAAAGTCGGTCAGCTGATGGAAATATTGTGGCCAGTGAACAGTCTACATGGAAATTAAAATGATACATGCTTTATGCTTTTTACAACTCAACCAGTATCGTATCTAAAATCATTGCCAAAAAAAAAGAAAAAAAAGAATTACTGAGAGAAACAATGGTATGACAGTGACCTTTATACCAAATACATAACAGTATCCTGTTAGAGATAGCCGACAAGGCCAGAAAAACATGGTAAATTTTAAATTGATACACTTAAATCTATATATACATGTACCTCTTAGTACTTTGTGCAATAAAATAACAAACAAAACATAAGTATGTATGTAGGTATACATTATCTATACTTGACATAATTAAGTGTAAAATTATATTATCATGTTTGTTTGTAAATTTATTGTACTTAATGTAACAAAAATGAAAGGTACAATCATAATGATAGAACTATATGTACTAATTCTATCAGTTTGTAGGATAAAACAGGGTTAAAAATGGTAATGTATGATACAACTCTCTTATCTAAATATCACAGCTGTGTGATAGTGCAGCATACATAACTTTGTATGATATAAATACCATTTATGTATAATCCATCTTGAATTGAATGGAAACACAAGTTTCAATTTGATAAATGACTTATTAAACTTATTCCAAGGCAAATACAGTTGAACTTTGTTATTTCAGAGTCGGTTAAAAAAACTTTTGAGTCATCCAAGGATTTGATTTCAACGAGATCCAATACTTGGTGAAAAGCTTGGCCGGGATGGACAAAATACTTCGTATTAAACAAGGTCTTCAATTTATACCAGTTTGAGACAACAAGGTTCAACTGTGGTTCTGATATGAAGAATTTGTAATAAGTTTCATAAATAACTTTTCAAACGGATGCAAATCTTAATATAGATCCATTTATGAGACGATAAATTATTCAGGCCAATATCGTAAAAATGGACATTTTCATGTCAAAGTTGAAGAAATTTCAGCTCGAAATCTACAGATCTTCACCGTTATGTCATGAAGGAACCTGTGAGTGTACGACTTCAGTTCATTAAGCCATCCGTCACAATGAGTTATAAGTACTATATGCAAAAGTATTACATAGTTATTGTCAGCATATTGATTGAAAAACATCGCAGTAATGTGGTAAGTCTAGATATTTAGACTCAATCAAACAAGCCTTAGAAGTTTTATTTTTGCTTTTCTTAGCTAGCAGAATTGAAACTTTGTGATGAGTTTCATAAATAAAACCTCATCTAAGGTATGTTTTATCTAAACGCTCAGAAAAATTAAATTTCAACAGATTTTTAAACAAAATTTGTGCAGGACAAAATCAAACAGTGACAGTATGGCCGTATATGACATCACAACGGATTTCTGACTGACACAACCAATGCAAAAACACACCCAGGTATATTGTATGAGTAAAATACCGTTATCCAAAATAGCTTTTACATGGGAAAGGTCACAGGATAAAACACAAAATTATTGATAAAAATAGAAATACAGGCAAAGGTAAATGGAATTCAGATAAGTTCCCCTGAACATTTTAAGACCAATCAAAAGGCAATTAAATTTCTGAAAACTAAACATAGATAAACACATGTTGATGATAAAAGATGTCATTTTGTCTACAACAGTGCATGAATATTGACACTTCAGGCTTGTCACTCATTCACAATGCTATAACACTGTCATCGAACTGTTGGAAAAATAGAATTTTTTTTTTTTTTTTTTTCACACTACCCAAGTAATTCAGTGAAGCTCGTGAAATGAATAAGTAAACAAATAATCATTGACGATGCCATGTGTGATATCATAATGAATTAGCACAAAAAAATTCAAAAAATGGTAAAATAGACATATTTTTGTTTGTCAGTGTACAAAAACATAAAATCATATCTCTCTGGTTATTTTAGGTAAAATAAATAACAGATTGTTCTTTGATAATTTTTCATGAACTTAAGAGCAACTTTAACTCTCCTTTCATATGTGAATATTTAATTGCAAACTTTGAAGTAAAAATTTGTTGGAACATTATTTGAAAGTTTGTATTTTACCTTATGTTCTCTCAAGAAATCTTGTGAAAAAGTAAGAAAGGTTTCAAAACCTGAAAAGATATCAGAAGAATTAAACCCAACATAATGCTAACTTTGAAAACCATTATACATGGTAAGATTTTAACTAGAAAAAAATAATAAAAAAAAATTCATTATAACTAAATATGTGTTCGTAGGGCAAATGGTTTTTATAACAGAAGGAAAATATTAAATATATTGGCATGACTACCATAAAAATAATGATTAATTGTAAAGATGATAATAATGTCACTGATTAATAACAAATCTATACAAATATACATATTCTATTCAACACTGCGATCACCACAATCATATTTCACATGGCTATAAATTGCAATTTAATCCCCTAAATATGATTTCTGTGTTATGTGACTATAGTAATATTTCTAGGAAATAAATCTCAAACTGTAAATGATTCTTAACACAAATACAAATCAATCAAGACTGACATGTATATCATATGTATTCTTTGATAAGTCCAGGTGCAAACACATAACTCCGACATAAGTCAGGTGGTGGGCTTGTCATGTGATAATGATGTAGCCTTTGTTAGCATTCTTACTAAAACTGCAAAATAAGCAGGTGGGCTTATTACCAGACATGGGCTTATTGCTGGATGAATTTACAGTAGGCCTGTTATAAAATGTGGTTACATACAAGCTATCATATTACAATTCAAAACAAAATACTTCATGATGATATTGCAAGATTTGATATGACTCCTCCAGTTACACGTACAATAGAATGTTGACTCATTTGAGTCAAAGGTCAGATGGGTACACAATGACTCCTCAATACTTTCGTTTCAGGCAAAAATAACCAAGATTACAACCTAACCAGAGTTATCTCCCTTGATTAAAAGTCCTCAGTATGCTGTTAGTTATTTTTAGGATGTCTTCATATTATTTAATTTGAATGCAGGTATTAAAAATGTCTTTCATTGTCTAATTATGTTTTACTTCCATAGATTATCAAACATACATTAAAGCTTCCAAAGTGAAAGCTGTTGTCCTTTCTGAACGTGTTTTGCATACAGTGTAATTAAGTGTGTTTTGACACAATTTGAATGCTGACCTGATGAAGAGGACAATTTGTTCTCAACTGGATTTTTTCTTTTTTTATAATCAAGTAAATCATTTAATGATGAAAAATATCCTACATTTAGCTGAAGGAGACTTAACTGATTTAAAATCAACATAATATGGTGACATATAAACTGAAACATCTATATATTTCCTTTCAGTTCACATACTTTTAAAATATGTGGAAGTATGGAGGGGCAATGGGTCTATCATAATTAATCAATTTTACTTTTATCAATATGGTTTATACATATTTATATATCAAGTGTTAATTGCAAGTTGTTCTATGTTTTATCTCATGAACAATTGTGTTTAACATTATCTTGGTAACTATCAAATGTTAAAAAGATACAAAATATATGATGAACAGTAATAACATCTCTCTCCATATGTACAACTTGCCATGTGTAAATATTCAATAATTCAGAATTAATCAGCAACTGTTTGAAATCGAGACCAGACCTAGACTATCTGTTTCCAACTAATTCATTTTAACAGGTATAGTAGTATTCTTAACCCAAGATATGAATTCTACGAGTGAACTTCTGCGGTGATGCTATGGTTGCTATGACTACATACAGCATCTAGGGGTTTGTTGTACACTTATGGCATGGGTGACTGAACACAACCAATTTTTTTAAAATGATTGCAAAAAGTGTCCTGATGGCTATTGAAACTCCATACCGTTCTCATGAAATACTACTGGTATTAGAATTAGCATTTCTTCCAACCTAATGAAGTATTTCCGAAACCAGAATTAGAGTTTCCTCTGCCCCCATAAAGCATTTTCGGAAGCAAGATTATAATTTTCAGATTCATGAACATTACGGAAATCTGAGCTCTAACATTTCCATCTCGATTGTGAGTTTTCCAATCTATCTGCCTCCAGATTATTGTGAGTGCATTGTACTTCAACAATCTATTTTCTCTTAGACTTCGTCCAGCAGCAGTGTTTTGGAAAATCTTGATAATTGACTCAGTCAAGTTATGGCACCTTGACAGCTCTCCGAGTTAAAGATGAGTTTGTTCCTGTGTGACTCATTAAATGATCAGTGCAAAACATTTTACTCATGAAGGGATTCCTCTGTGACTCCTTTGACCTTCAACTCATCCAGAACTCGGTCCAGATAAGTAGGGTCTGGGTACGCAAACCTTAAACAAACAACATTGAAACATAGAAATAAGTTGATGAATGAAAAACATACAATCTATTACGCTAACAAGAGATCTCTATAGCAGGACCTTGACTGCCAACACGGATCTCCAATATATGCTGTTTAAAACTTGAATTTTCCCTTCTCTTCTCTTATTTTCTGTTAGTTATACAAATATATGAAAAATATATGAAATTTAAGAATTTCTCTTTAGGAATAGCAAAAATTATCTTTGACAAATTACGGATGGTTGCTAGGCAGCAATTCTGTTTCTCTCATCAACCCAAAAATCCAGAAGGCACAACTAGGTAAGAAGAGGAACCTATATACGAAATCTGACAGAAAGATCCATCCAGCATTTTTCAAGAATAGCAATAACAAACTTAATTGTCAAAATTCAACATGGCCAACTGTAAACTGCTTCTCCTTACAAACCTATCCCAAAGTCAAAAGGGTGTAACTTTGGGCTACGGAGAACCTGTATCTTAAATCTGAGAAGAATTCATCCAGCAGTAGCCATGGCAACCTTTTGCAGTCAAAATACAGTAAAGCTGTCTGTATGCCATTTAGTTTTTTTTCAGATCAGTCCCAAAATTATTAGGAACCATGTGGAATCTACATAGTAAATTTGAGTAAGTTCCAACAAGGACTTCCTGTAAAATAGTAATAACAAGTTTTCTTTGACCAAAATCTAAGATGACCACCTGGCGGCCATTTTGCATTTCTGATCAGTTCCAAAATCAAAACTGCACAAATAGGAACCAAAGGGAACCAACATGAAATCTGAGAAAGATCTGTTCAGTGCTTCTCAAGAAATATCGAAACAAGAACTGTTTAATGATGGACAATGAATATTAGAGAGTAAAGTGATTTGAACAGTCCACCATTATTGGATGGATTAAGGCTAAACATTGTAAAGATTACTTGTGTTAGACAGGGTAGAACTCTTCTGTGCTGTGATTCTGATGAAAAGCAAGAAAGTTGATGAACCAGTTTCTTGATTATCAATACTTACGCCTGAGGACCACCTTCCTTTCTGGTTTTGTGGTGAACATCATTCCAGGTAACGACACCATCGTAACCACTTGTCCTTGACCTTCCAATAGTAAAAACTAACTTCCTGTCAAAAGCTATCTTTAACAGTTTTGCCACAAGACGGCCTTTCTCGTTGTCTGGGAGATAAGCACATCTGGTAATACCCTGGTAGTGTTTACCAGGCGTGGGGTGGTCAGGCTAAAAACACAGAAAAAGAGGCTGTCAGAAAATACCTGAAATTCTTCATCAAGTCAACGTAATGGGATTCATTACTGAAAAGTATTATAAGTTCTTATTCAAAATAAACAGAGATTTTTTTTTGAACTAACAAAAAATCTTTTGTTGATACTCCATGGGTTATGATTACATTCACTTTCTGCAACCTTAGAACACATCATGCCAAAATTGAAGATTCCATGTGCAACACCTTGTCGAAAAGACTAGTCTGATCCTTTGATGTACATCAAACTGAACTCATGGTCACATAACGGTATATTGTAATGGCTTGAAGTTGAGTGTTCCTCTTTTGTAATCTTAAAAAAGGGGCATATCAGTCTGTGATTGGTCAGTTTTATCAGTCTGTGATTGGTCAGTTTTATCAGCCTGTGATTGGTCAGTTTTATCAGCCTGTGATTGGTCAGATTTTTCAGTCTCTGATTGTTCAGTTTTTTTCACCTGTGACCCACTCAATACCAATCAAATTACTCTGCTTGTACTTTTTTTTTGTACTTTTGTACAATTTTAACATGAAATATTTCAGGATGTGCAGGAAGCAATAGTGAGCATAACTCCTGTAGTATCGAGGTTGTCAACAAGTCTAGAATTTATTCTTGTGCATACTGAAAAAAAATTACAAATAGTAAAGTTACTATATTAATCTAGGATTGAGTTAGCATTATTTTTCAATATCCCACAACATACTTACTCCCTGTATTCCACTAGGGAAGCTATAAATGATGTTGATAACACCACATCCACTGTAACCAGGCAAGGACTTTTGGCTTCCATATGACTTCATGGTTTGCGTAGTCATTGTCCCTGTTGGCTGGTCCCCCATGATCTTCCCATGTACAGCCCCACACTGGGGACAAGCGGGTTTGTATTTAAACTGCTGATCAATACAGTCTGTACAGAATGCGTGGCCACAGGATAATTTCTTAGGTTTTGTGATGGTGTCAATACAGATACAACAGTCTTCCACAACCTCTTTAACTGCCCCTTGGGGATGTCCACTCACATCAGGTGTAGTCTGACCTCTCTGGTCAGCTGTCTGATCTTTCCTGTCGGCCATTGATTCCTCATCACTTTTGATAAATTTCTTGTCAAATATATCCCTCAAACTACGTACTGCTACTATGTCATCCGAGCAGACATACAGTGTTTTCCTTGTTGTGGTTTTGTCAGCATACATTTTACAAACATCAGCTATCTGTTTGGATATACTAATGATTGGAACTGGAAGCTTGGGGACTTTTCCTGTTCATGAAATAAATATAAGAATAAAATTTTATGAAATGAATATAAGAATAAAATCTTACTTTTGACTTATACCTTATCAGACTGAATTTTCAAATTTCAACAAAAAATGAGGTACCTGTTAATATCAACAAGAAAATGATGCACCTGTTTATATCAACTAGAAAATATACCTGTTTTTATATCAACTGAAAAATGATGCACCTGTTTATATCAAGTCGAAAATGATGTACCTGTTTATATCAAGTCGAAAATGATGTACTTGTTTATATCAAGTCGAAAATGTTTCTGTTTATAACAACTAGAAAATAATGCACCTGTTTATATCAACTAGAAAATATACCTGTTTTTATATCAACTAGAAAATGATGCACCTGTTAATATCAACTAGAAAATGATGTACCTGTTTATATCAAGTCGAAAATGATGTACCTGTTTATATCAACTAGAAAATATACCTGTTTTTATATCAACTAGAAAATGATGCACCTGTTAATATCAACTAGAAAATGATGCACCTGTTAATATCAACTAGAAAATGATGTACCTGTTTATATCAAGTCGAAAATGATGTACCTGTTTATATCAAGTCGAAAATGTTTCTGTTTATATCAAATAGAAAATGTACCTGTTTATATCAACTAGACATCAAAAGTCTACTAGCCATTGTATCTGCTATGTATTAGTATTCAATATGACAGATTTCATCAAACTCACAGAAAAAAATTCAGTGATTTCTGTATCATTTTCTAATCTGAAAATCAGAACAACCAATCTCACTTATACTAATGACCTTGAAAATGTTGCAAATGTAACACTAATAATGATTAAAATCTTGATTATTTGTAAGTTTCCAGTCCTTGTATTAAACTTATCATAGATTTACACCCTGTCCACTGTTAAGTAAATTTGGATAAAGTTTCACAAGTGTAATTATCAAATGACATACATTACAAACTTTGAGTTGCTAATACTGGATTATGATATTACAAGGTGTGTGAAGATGTAATGTCTTACCTGTTCCAAGGATTGGTAATGCTAATGATGCTACATCAGGACAATTTTTATCCCATAAAGAGAAAATGTTGCTGTAGGATTGGTCCAGCTGTTTCCAGAATTTACTCTGGTCTTGCACGGCCTCAACATTCCATTTAGGTGCAACCACATGTAGTACATATTTAAAATGTGAATCTCCAGCTAAAGTGTCGCGTACCTCTGTCAACTTTGGTTTTCTCTGCTCAAGTGTCAGTTCATATCTTTCATTGTCTACATACTTTTGTCCAGCTACTCGGGCAATTTCCCTTGCAATCCTTCCCGTACTGTCACACTGGACATTCTCAGGGCTGACAATGGCATCTGTTTTCAATTCCACAATATTTCCATGGACTATGTGTACAGTCAAATTATTTCCAATTTGGTACTTAAAATCTTTTACACCTGGCTTTGAATGCTGCTCAGTGAAAGACAGCAGACTAGGAGAATCTACAGGGGAACCATCTGTATCTGATGGCACACTTCTGGACCTTAGAATAACTGATGGAGGTTTTGTATGATGAATGGTGGATGTAGGTGATTTTTTCCTGTCTCCATTGTCACTTTTATAACTATCACTTTTCCCAAAGCATTTTGTGAAAGTTGTCTGTATCAGCTGACACATTTCGGTGTCCTTATCTATAAAATGAACCTCAGTCAAGGACGAGTCATGTCCCCTTGTTCTACTGTACTCTTCTACAGCACGATAGTACTGTTGACTACAGAGTTCTTTTGGAACACCAAATATACCTGTGTGATGAAGAAATTATTTCATATTAGTGACACATTCAGGGCTATCACACCCCATTTTGGGACTGGGACCCAGGGCCCTTAGAATTGGGAAAAATAGCGGTGTTTTCCTTAGAATTGGGAAAACTTGGGGTCTAAATTGGGGAAAAAAAGATACTATTTTGCATCGGGAATGGGGCCGAATATCGGCAGATCGAGAGACCTGACATTTCATAACCATCATGATACATTATCTTATGACAGGCCTAAGGGTAGGGGGTTGGGGTTTCGGGTTGGTTAGTTGGAGGGCGATATATTAACTGAAAGTGGAGGATGGGTTTACTGAGGGGCATTGAATAATAGTTAAATGTTTACTTAACAGCTATAGATGTGGGGGAGTTTTTCATCAGAAATGAGCTTCATATTTTAATAATTATGGCATCAAATAGATTTTTTTTCTATACTGCCAAAGTTCATATTTTAGTATAAACCACTTCTGCTAAATTACGATTGTGCTAATGCAGTCTCGCTGTCTTTTTTTCTGCTGCAATTACTGTGGGTACACTAATTCATCATTGTGCTAATCTGTATAAATTTGGTTATACACCGAAATTTGAGTAAACCAATACATACATATTTACAGTGTTTTTTTTTTAATTACTAATTGATGAAACATTTCATTGTAACACAGCGATAGTAATTGTTTATGATCAGTACCAGTAATTAATATGTTATTAAATAAATAAATTTGTATACTGCAAAGGTAATTAAGAGATTTTGAATTTTGCTATTTTTGAAATAAAACTGCAAAAAAAAGAAATAGCTTAAAATCAAATTAACAAAAAAAACACTTAGGATCATTTTGGGATATCAACAAATACTACATCCTCTTGTAATGAGCTTTTGCTGAAATTACAACAGTTTGAACTGTTAGCTTTACAGCTTATTTAATCAATACAATTTGTGAGAAGATTTCATTTATATGAAAAATCATTGAATGCTTTGAGATTCTATTATCCCAGAAAGTCTTTTCTAATCAAGATCTCAAATTCTGTTGCTGCTCATTTATCAAGTAAGTATAACATTTATATGAAAATTTAGACGAATTCTAGAAAAAATATTTGCTTTTTAAGATATTATTTTCAAAACAAATGCATTTTTCTAATATTTCTGCATCAGAACAGTTACCTGAGCTGATAGCTGGTATAGCTATAGACTTGTATCCTTGGATGTCTGCCTCATCTAAACTATTCTGGACAGTTGACTGTAGATCTTTCAGACAAAGCCACTTCTGGTCATGACTGTAATCATACCACCTTGGCCCTACAGCATGAACAACACCTTTGTACTTCAGATTCCCCGCGGTCGTGGTGCACACATTTCCAACTCCCAGAGGACCATATCTAGCTATGTAGTCCCTGCTCTCTCTGTCAAACTCGTAACCAGCAGCACTAGATATCACCTGGGCCACTCCCCCTCCATGTTGTAAGTCACCATTGGCGGCGTTTACGATACAGTCCACATCAAGATGGAGAATACTACCCGAGTAAACTTGTACTAACAATCCTTCTGCTGTTTTAAAGTCAACAGAACTTACACTACTATAACCAGTAGCTGAGTTAGATTTTCCGGCTGATCGGCTTCCATGATATGAATGACGGAATCTATCTCTCTCTGATGGAGTGCCCTGTTGAAGTGAAGAATTGTCAAATCTCCTATTTCTTCGTGTTTCTGTCTGTTTTATCCGACCTAATCCCAGTGAAAACTTGTGTTTTGCTGCTTGTAAGTCACTATAATTGAGTGCCATTAAATGGACCTGTCTTCTTTTATCTTCTTCAAGCTGATAGCAGAAAACTGCATCGACATTTTGATGAATATCTGTAATGATTCTGCTGATTTTGGTTTCTTCATCTGCAGAGAACGAGAAATCATCTTTGTTCATGATCTCTATGTGTTTCATTTTACTTTCAATAGAAGTTTTGACAGCCTTTGTTATTGTTTTGTCAGTGCAAGATACCCGAAGCTTGCCATTTTTGTAAGATATCTGATCTGAAAAGTAATCTTTAGCACTGAAGTGTTTAACAGCCAGAAACGTTTCCTCTGACATATCAATACTTTCCACATATACACCGTGATCTTGTGAATTGTTGAAGTGATCATCAATGCAGTTGACCAGGAGTGGATCTGAACAGAATTTGATCTGAAGTGCTTTATCAACTTTCTCAAGACTAGGCAGACTTTTGCAAACTATTTGATCTTTATTCACGTCACAATGAAGACTTTTCAGTTCTGTCTTCCATTCTGAGGCATGTGATGATATCCCAGGATTCACGCCAGCAACTAATGTTTCAAATACCTGAAAGATAAAGATGGATTCTATCACATTTGTATAAGAGGACAATAGTAGGAATAACATTTATCTAGTAATAAGCCAGTTCCTGGTAATAAGCCCATGTCTATTAAATGCTTTTCAGCAAGACTACTACTTTATTCTACTGTAACAAGCCCATCCCATAACCTCAGGATAAACAAAGTCCAACCATATCCATTTGGTTTTAGAATGGTCACTGATATCCTTAACAAGCCTTTGGTAAAACAAAAGTTTTCTCAAAACTCAAGCAGAAATCTTAACTAGTTAAGTTGAAACTCAGTTGTTTTTACCTCAAATAATACTACAAAGCTTATGACGTTCTGTGACGCTCTTGCTAATCTCACAAGCTCTTGCACTTAGACGGGGAGGGAGAGAACAATAACGGTACTAGAAAAAAGTATTTGCTAATTACTATCCTCATCTGTATGACAATGCAGCTGCAGCATTTTCACAATCAAATCTCTAAAGAAGTCATTTTGATATTATGATCTTTCTGAATATCAGTTGTAAAGAACTTATCATATTACCATTTGGGGTTGTAAATTATCTACCTTTCATAAAGAATGATTAAGGCTCATAAGCTTAATGAACAGTCCATAAATTTTCTTCTGTAATACTTTAAAAATTAGATTTAGAAGTTTTCTTTTCTTTCATAGTAACAGTTTGCACTATTTTTTAATGATACATGTACTTTGTTTAAGATGCATGTTTTGTTTAAGAGTGAAGATTTGTTTTGGTAACCTATTCAACCTTATTTTCAGAGCCTGTATTGTTGTAACATCATGGAGAGCTTAGGGTGTATTGTAATATTCTATCATGAAATATGACAAGATAAAGATAGCAGATTTCAATGTAAACCATCATTTCATTAAAAGAAGCTCTTATTAAAACTTTGTAAATATGTTTGATAAATATGTATTTTATGTAAATAAGGTACATGTGAATCCCAATTATATGTTGTGGATCAATGTGGCACTTACAATATATATTGCTTATTCCCCTTTAATGTGACAAACGGAAAATAATTTTTTTTTCTATTTATAGCTTATTCTCTCTGACAAAAAATTTTAAAAATTTACTTTTTTTCTTTACATTGCCAATTCTCTATAAAATCAGTTTCTTCGATATATTGCAAATTCCCTCTGACAAATTATAAAATCAAAATGACTTGTTTCAAACATGATTTTAATATAGTTTTAAGCTCGTGTAAAGAAATCAAAATATTAACTTGAAAGATTTTAATGTTCCTAATGACTAGTTAACCTATAATGGACATGTGCTTACATATGTTTTATGTTTCTTTGACTCCATTAAAACATTTCTCTGTTTCTAATAAAACATCTTAACTGCTATTGTTATACAAATTTAACAAGCACATAGTCATCAAGATCACCCGCCCAAGTTCATTTGTAGAACCCCAGGGGGCTGAAAAACACTTTTTATTCAACATTAGTTTCCCTTCCTGGAGGGTCTTTTTTTTATACCAAATTTGATGAAAATCTGTTCAGTCATTCATGACTAGTAAAGTGATTTTTAGTAAAGAGTTGATGGACCCTAACCAGCGCATGGATTACAGACACCATATCAAGGTATAAGCACTATGGTACTAGACCTTTGGACCAGGTCAGCTAAATATTGATGAACGTATGGACACAGGATACAGCACCATGATATGACTTCACCGGTCTTTCAGAGTAGGTGAGCTAAACATTATTTCACGCGATAACTTACATCAATGTCCTGTACAGGAGGATGCTGATCCTTTTGAAGTGGAAGTTGCTCACTTGGAACAGAGCGATGGCTTTCCTGTGAATGCAGCATTGTTTTATCAAGATCTCTTCTTTGTCCAGTGTCCAGCTGGTAACCAGGAGAGCTGTTTGGACCATGCAATGTATGCGGTTTAGCATGCTTATTGTTGAGCAGAAGATGATTTTCACTGCTAGAATTAACATGTGATGTTCTATTCCCGGAAAAGCCCATGTCATTTTCGAAATCATAATGACTGCCTTTAGTAGGATGAACTCTTCTCTCTGCAGAACGCCCAGTGTCATTTTGGTAACCAATGACTCCACCTGTGGCACCCTCTCCTGATGACTCAGCGGGATGCCCAGTGTCAGTTTGGTAACTGGTATATCCACCAGTGGCCCCCTGTACTGTTCTCTCAGTCAGATGTCCATTTTCATTAACAAAATGGTGGCCTGTGTTATCCTGTTTAGCAGTTTCTGACAGAAAACTTTCGAAAGCCTTTTCAACGTTGTTTTTGTCTGCAACCAAGGTGACTTTAAACCTCAAATCTGACTGCTTCATGTATCTCACTACCTTCCATGGGCACTTCTTTTTACCTAGAAATAAAATTGATGGACACTTGTATACAGGATATGTAAAGCATTGCATTATCAATGGTGATGATATTAATGACGAAGATACCATAAATTTCTAAAATGTTGATGATGTAACACACTTTTTGATAGAATAATTATCATTACCTCATCACAGGTATACATATGAATTACAGTGATGTCACTCAGACTGGGACAATAATTCAGTAAGTTGAACTCTGAAACATGATATTACTGATGTCAATGTAAAGATTGGCAATCTTCTATAACAGTACTTTGTAATAAAGACCTTGACCTCTGAAACATGAAGCACCTGTGTATTGTTATAGTAAACCAGTATCTATAGTTTGATAAAAATCCCTTTAGGAAGAGAATAGATTAATGTCACTGAATATCGATTGATATAAATTTCTATAAATAGTAACAGTAACCATGACTTTGACATCCGAGTTGTTGTTATACTTGACCTTTCTCATTAACTATATAGATCTATATAGTTATCATAAACTATTTACAATCTACTTCCGAAATACAGCTATATTGGTATTTTAATCAGTTTCAAAATACACAATGCAGATAGGAATCAAGGTGAACTCTCATAGGAAATCACCTTCCAGCGAATCTCAAGAAATATCAATAACAAACTTCATATGGGACCAATGGCAGTCTACAGATGAAATGTGAGAAAGATCAATTTTTTTTTAAACTTCAGAACTAATGAATATAACCAGAATCCCCTGCAGACGCAAAATCAATTTTGATAAGTTACAATATTTGACAAAGTTTTTATTAAAATCGAAGGACAGGTGAGCAGTGTATAGTGATCTTGTTACTATGGCAACCAAAGGTTTAGTCCATGTATATATGACAAAGATCCATCCAGTATTCCTGAAAAAATAGCAACAACAAACTTACAACTTTCAAATTGTCAGATTGCTGTCTGTCATCATTTTGTTTTTCATCGTCCACACTCAACAAATACTAAATAATGTCTATACATAGAATTGGAGAAAGATCCATTCTCTAGAAATAGCGATTTTAAGGAGTTGGTTAAGGCAAACATGTGATATAGACCAAGGACTAAGGCTGATTTTAACACCAGACCAAGGCTTATTTCAACAGCAGACCAAACAGCAGACCAAGGCTTATTTCAACAGCAGACCAAGGCTTATTTCAACAGCAGACCAAAACTTATTTTAACAGCAGACCAAGGCTTTTTTAAACAGCAGACAAAGGCTTATTTTAACAGCACACCAAAACTTATTTTAAACAGCAGACCAAGGCTTTTTTAAACAGCAGACCAAGGCTTATTTTAACAGCACACCAAGGCTTATTTTAACAGCAGACCAAGGCTTTTTTAAACAGCAGACCAAGGCTTATTTTAACAGCAGACCAAGGCTTATTATAACAGCAGACCAAGGCTTATTTTAACAGCAGACCAAGGCTTATTTTAACAGCAGACCAAGGCTTATTTTAACAGCAGACCAAGGCTTATTTTAAACAGCAGACCAAGGCTTTTTTAAACAGCAGACCAAGGCTTATCTTAACAGCAGACCAAGGCTTATTTAAACAGCAGACAAAGACTTATTTCAACAGCAGACCAAGACTTATTTTAACAGCAGACCAAGGCTTTTTTAAACAGCAGACCAAGGCTTATTTTAACAGCAGACCAAGGCTTATTTTAACAGCAGACCAAGGCTTATTTAAACAGCAGACCAAGGCTTATTTTAACAGCAGACCAAGGCTTATTTTAACAGCAGACCAAGGCTTATTTTAACAGCAGACCAAGGTTTTTTTAAACAGCAGACCAAGGCTTATTATAACAGCAGACCAAGGCTTATTTTAACAGCAGACCAAGGCTTATTTAAACAGCAGACCAAGGCTTATTTTAACAGCAGACCAAGGCTTATTTTAACAGCAGACCAAGGCTTTTTTAAACAGCAGACCAAGGCTTATTTTAACAGCAGACCAGGCTTATTTCAACAGCAGACCAAGGCTTATTTAAACAGCAGACCAAGACTTATTTTAACAGCAGACCAAGGCTTATTTTAACAGCAGACCAGGCTTATTTCAACAGCAGACCAAGGCTTATTTAAACAGCAGACCAAGACTTATTTTAACAGCAGACCAAGGCTTATTTAAACAGCAGACCAAGGCTTATTTAAACAGCAGACCAAGGCTTATTTTAACAGCAGACCAAGGCTTATTTTAACAGCAGACCAAGGCTTTTTTAAACAGCCAACCATCAAAATCTCCCTAATGGTAAGAAAGATGAAAACAATAACAAAATCAAACCAAAAATCAAATTTTACAAATGATATTTCAGTATGAACTGATTTCAAAACAAAAAAAGATTAATGAAATGCACATGTTTCTTCAATATCACACAACGACAACATATTCCATTACAGAGATGCAGTAAAAACTCTACTGTATAATGAACTTTAAATATAATTTTACAACAACTGCCAAACAAGCTTTAAGCTTCCATTTTTCCTTATTACTGGCCTTGATGGAATTGCCCTAGGGTTCTTGCTGTGGGAGATATCCCGAGTAGCTGGGAAAAATGGGCACATGACCCTACACCTTTTCATGACTGTTCTAGCATTCAAACCCCTGGAACCTCAGTGAAAGGCAAATGTGTTGCTACTGTGCCATCTGACCATACAAATAGTAAACTTCCCAGAAAGCTTACCAAATAATTTGAATTCCTTTCTTGTTCCTGTGTTTCTCTTTGATTTCTTTTCTGCCAGAAACATGTAAAAATCTTCTTCTGCCATGACAAGTATTTTAATTTCCTGTAAGTACATGTTGTCTCCATTAAATTCCTTAACTGATTTCTTGACCAGTTTTGCTAGGTCTTTGCACGTCAGTTTCCCTGCAGTGAAAATGACAAACTGAGTTATTCACAGCAGTGATATAGTGAAACAAGCCATTACAAACAATTTCAAAAACAAATTAATATTCTAAGAGGACCAACTGAAGCGGAACAACCCTCATAATCATCAAGAAACAGACGGACCACAAACCAAGGAAGATTTGAATAGCCCGTTATTTGTAATGTAATGGCAGATGGATGGAGACATGTCACTGATATAAGAATACAATTGTTTTACGTTTTGACTTCTGGCACTCCAAAGTCTTCGCAACAAATCCCACAGATGTTACTCTTCCTTCGCATGAATCCTTCAGTGCTCTTTGGATAATTTTGGTAATTTTATCGTCAAAATCAAACAGTGCCCTAATACTTAGATAATGCTGTGAGCCTTTGGTAAGCCATTTTGAAGTGTAGCCAGTAGCAGTAAGTTCTTGGTACTGTGGATCTGAAAGAAATATTGACAGTAATGTATTTCAAAACAGTTTGGTCTGCAGAAATTGAATTAAAAAACATTGCTAAATGCATAGGAAGTTAATGGTGTCTTTACAGGTTGACAGACAGGTTATACATATATGTGTCTAAGATTTAGGTTGTAATAATGGGTGTTAATTCTGTTGAATTAAGAAAAATACATGATTACGATACCAACTATCCAACTATTGTAATTTTCTTTTTGATATAATCAACCATATCATCATCATTATCATCATCATCATCATCATCATCATCATCATCATCATCATCATCATCATCATCAGCATCATCATCATCATCATCATCTTCATCATCATCATCATTATCATCATCATCATCACGCAAAGCACAAACATTGTCAACTAAATGCCTTATATGGTCAATATAGATACCTGAAATACATTCTGCAGCTGTGACAAATTCCACTAAGGCATGAACTCGCCATGCGCATCTGCGGAAAAGCAGAACTTGTATCTGAACTGATGTCCCTTTAGTTGGAACCCTGGCCTCAAGGATACTACAAGGGGGCTCTTTGTCTACAATGCATAGAAAATTTTTTAAGACCAAAGAAGAAAATCAAATATATGTAAATATCCCAGGATTGTTTTTTATGATGTTGTCAAAAAATCATATGATTGATTAAAAAAATTAGAATGCATTATTTGTTTATGTAACTTTCTGTGACAAATATTGTTAACAAACAAGCGTATCAGTGAAATTGATGAATGCTCCCCGAAAATGACTTTATTGGACACAAAATTTTAACAAAGGACACTATTTCTGTAATCAAGGGGTTGTGGCCCTTTAAATTGGTATACTGCATATTTCCTTAGTATGACCAAATGCAATTTTAAACATCAAATTTCATGCTCCTAGTCTTGATGTAAGCAGCGCTATGCTTATGCCACAAAAATTTAACAAAGGGCCATAACTCTATTCTCAGTGGATATAGGCCCTGGCTTTGCTACACTGCACCTTGCCTTTGTATGTCTGATGTATATATCACCTTTCAATATCCTAGTTTAAATACAGGCAAAGTAATAATACAACACAAAATTTTAAAAAAAGAGGGCATGGCTATTATTGGTTATCTGACAATTGAAGAATGAATGGACAAACCACAGAATTTGTAGATGGTAGTCTGACAAATCTGATGAATTCCCACAATGATATTTCAGACCGCATTCGATTTAAATCCATTCAAGCATTAAGGAATAGTAACATTCTGAAACAAAATATTGACTAACTTCTCCACTTGCTGCCCCTCCCCTAAGTCCCTCAGGGGCCAGATAAACTTTCTGAATTTAGGAACTGATTGCCCTCTCTACGGATGTTTCATACAAAATTTGAATGGAATTCGTTCAAGCATTAAGAAAGTGTAGAATTTTAAAGCAAGGTATTATCTAAATACATTTTTGGGGCCCCATAGTCCCAAAGTCCCTAGGAGTCAAATTCACTTTCTGAATTTAATAATACCCCACCCCAAATGAAGTTTCAGACCAAATTTGGTTGAAATCTGCTCAGGTGTTTAGCAGGAGTAGAGATTTCAATGAAAAGTTTTTGGATGGCGGACAACGACAGATGATGCATGATAGCAATAGGTCACCTTGACCCTTGTTTCTTGCTTAACTATGGCCAAAGTTATGCTCCAGACAAAGGGCAATAACTCTGTAATTGAGGGGTCAAGGGCCCTGAATTATGCACACTGTACATTATTATAGTATGATCAATGTTATATCCACCAAGTTACATTGTCCTTGTTTAAATGCAAGCAATTAGAAGTTGAGCTCCAGACACAAAATATTAACAAAGGGCAATAACTCTGTAATTTACATAGACATATATAATCCTTAATAAAGTGTTTCTTAATTCTTATGATTACAATCAATTATTTTACAGAAATAGTGGCTTATTTCATCATCATACATCAGTTCTTTTCTGCTGTTACATACCATCAGTTCTAGCAGCTCCAAAGCCTCTGTGTTCTTCATAAATCTTAAAAGCCTAAAATAAAAAAAAAAAAAAAAATAAATAACATTAATAATTCTTAATCATAAACAACCAGCATTACTGACCATTGGTTAAAACATGATGTCAACCATTCTTTTTGTACTTTAGGACTGAGCCAACTTGTCACCAAACCCTGGGTTCTGCTAGGGGTTCCATGAAGCAAATAGAAAAGAAACAACTCTCATGAGCATTTAATTTTATTTTATTAAAATATATTGAAGAGAAAGACAGGTTGACAGATACATAACACAGAGCCCCTATGGTACAAAGTACGGCCCAGTTTTTTTTTAAAAAAAAAAAGAAAGAATAAATTGCACCAGCTCTCGGAGCTTCCTACCGACTGACGATAGAGCAGAAAAACAGCAGTTAAGGAAGAAGGTTTGGAGTGAAAGCAGAAATAAAAACAGATAGCAAGGAAGTCCCATCCAGTAATGTAAACAATAAAGAACAAGAGACCCAAGGGCCTTAATGATCACCTGAGTCACAATGGTTTTTGTAACATGTCATAGAAATGATTTAGAAATAGAACTTTAACTATACTGTACACATAATGTAAATTGTCTTATATATTAACTGCTATCCTATGCTATGGCTTCTAACCAAGTTTGAATTAAAAGAAATCCCACTCAAGATTTGAATTTTTCTATATGAAATCTTCCATCAAGGAACAGTAGCACATTCAGTCAATCTGACCCATTTTTGGCCCCGCCTATCAGCACCTGGAGATCAGTCTTGGTAAATATGTGCATCTCATTAAACTGTCATCTTAATCTAATAATTTTAACCTGGTTTGAACAAATTCCAACAGAAAATAAAATAATGTTCTAAAACGTAACTTTCATTAGAAAATAAACAAATAATGTTCAAAAATTAACTTTCCTTTATAAACTATAGTTAACTTTACCCCCTCTCTATGGGGAAATGTGAGACTCTAGGATCACTAAACTTACAATTTTGGTAAACCATCTGAAAGCCTTTCCATCAATGAAGAGTGCTGGATTCTATTATACCTGGGATTTGAGAAGAAGATTTTTGGGGGCTGGGGTCTACATAATTTACAATTTTGGTGCGCTTGAATGTGTTTGTAAATTTTCACTAAGATTGCTGCAGGAGTTTTCCAGAAGAAGTCCAAAATGTTACAAGTTTACAACGCACAACACACTACGCCAGATAAAAGGGGTTTGCAATAGGTATAGGTCACCCTTAGACTTTGTTTCAGAATAGATACACTTTCTTTGGCTGATTTGTTTTTGTCCACATATAAGGCACACATCCAACCACCGAGGAAAAAAAAACGTAGCTTACAAACCGGAAATATGGCATACTAGTGGACAATCATGTTTCAAAATAACAGATTTATTTAAAACTTGACACAATCACAAAGAAATCATAATTAATGAACAAGCTAAATCCAAGTTATTCCAAGAACAGAGAAGTGTCTAGTGTGACTTCTGATATAGGTTTTAAAATTACCAAGAAAAGGACACTTTTTGAATTAAACAATTTTCACGACCTTTTACGAATTCCACGCTTTGGTAGCTAAATAGACATTTTCTATCAGAAAGAGTTTTCATCTCAGGTAAAAAACTCTTTTGTTTCTTTGAGTATAACATCCTGTTCTATGGGTTTATGTGAATCTACGTGAACTATATGAGCTTATCATAGTAACACATTTCTGGATTTCAATGGATTCCAGAATACCTTTCAATTGAGAAATACATCCTTTTTGCCACATTTTGTGTACATCCTTACTTGTTGTTGCGGTGAAAATATATTGTTGCAATGACAAAATTTCATTTACAAAAAATTTTTACAATTCAAATCCATGAACATATGAAATTGAAAAATGTAGACTTGGTACAGAATGTCCTGCTTCACTGTCAGAGGACACAGGAAAATATGTTCACAGAAGTGAACTAAGCAGGCAAAAAGCATGATCTATGTGCTTCACAATATCAATGTCATCACATTTAACACAGTTAAAGGTAACCACACTTCCATGCTTGCTGTCACATTAGGCTGTGCTACATGTGATGAATAATGTTGGTTTCGTTGAACACACAGAGATAGAGCCATCATAGAAGTTTTAAACAAAGGACAATGGCAAATTGCACAATGCTGAATTTAAGCATGTTGTCTAAGATGAAGTTTGTGGAACTTTATCAAAACGAAAGGAGTCCTTTATTTACACAAACTGTCTGTCTGTCTATCTGTCTGCCTCTCTCTCTGTGTCTCTTTCTCCCTCTCTCCCTCCCTCCCTCTCTCTCTCTCCCTCTCTCTCTCTCTCTCTATCTCTCTCTCTCTCTCTCTCTCTCTCTCTCTTATCTCTCTCTCTCTCTCTCTCTCTCTCTCTCTCTCTCTATATATATATATATATATATATATATATATATATCTATAATATCATATATTTGTCAGCTTATCTCCATAACTTCACATCTGGCCAAAAGGACACAAACAATTATGTTAAGTAAATTTGTTAGGACATCAAAGCTTGTACAACACAGACATGGATAGGATTGTATAGAATTTTTTTCTGGCAACTTACATTTCTATTGCAAACTGAGTATCATATCTTTCTTGCATGTGGTATATGAAGTTATAGAAGCTTTCTTTTTAAATATCTGACCCATGTAACATTGAAGGAGGGTCAGTGTTATCCACTTCATCAAATTCAAAGCCCTTTAACACCAATTGTCAGTACTTCTGGACTCGAGACCTCATCAGTGTTTTTCAGAAAGAATAAAAATGACACTAAGGCATGGCACCATACATAGTTAACTTCCATTTTCAACAACAAATATTCTACAAATCTTGTCTAGTTCAAAAGTTAAAGCTGTGACATGTAAAATATAAATAGGACCCCTAATAAAGATGTTTGGAAATTTTCATATACATGTCCATGTAATGTAAAATCACTCATCAATTTCCGTGGAGGATTTATTTTTGTTCATATCATGGGGACACTTAGACCACAAATTCTTGTCCATAAACCGATACAATAATTTAAAATTGCTAATTCGAACTGGGAAGTTTCGAAAACCTGGCAAAGTCCTTTCTTAATCTTAGAAACAGAGATTTGCAAAACTTAAATTTGGAAAACTCCAAAAACTTAATTAAATTTAAGTAAAGTTTGGTCCCAAAATAGCACATTGAACATTTTTGAAGGTAACAAAATTTGACTGCATTGATCCACAAAATCAAATGTCCATGAAACTGAATTATTTTTTGGAAAACCATGAAAATTAAACCCCACAAAAATAGGTGATTTTACAGTAGATCCTTTATGAACTATGAGGAAATAGTAGTGAGACATTTTTACTGACAGAAAAAGAGACCAAGGACACAAAGTGGCTAATGGAAGGTAATTATCAGATTGGCTAAAAACGTTCTTTCTGCAAATTCCTTGACAAAAATGTTCTTGAATTCAATCATTCAGAGAAAATAACGACGTCTTACTGATACCAATGAACAGATTCCATAAATCGACCTTAAATTGTACTTAAGGAATCCTTACCTTCAATATATCATCTTCAAAAATTGAAAACTTCACAACCTTGATATTTGTCTTTTTGCTGGTACCATATTTCATGACAGTATCAAACATGGTCTTGATGACAAGATGGACTGGATATAGCAGTTTTCCTGTCCCAAGCACTGGGAAAGCGATGCTCTGCATCATCCTTTTATCTGCTTCAATAAGACATTTTGTCATCAGCAACTCGAGAACCTAAGTGAGAAATGCATATAATCTTTAAATCCCTTGAAGGAAATTAAAAGATATGAATATTACTAATATTTCAAAACAGAAACACTGAAGTTGCCCCTTAATCACTATAATTGGTTTCAAATTCACCATGACCTGATAAAAGTCATTTATGGTGTAAAACTCCACTGACAATTTTGCACCCATCTAACCTTTGACATCAAGATCACATTGACCTAATTTCAGTGCTCTGGAAAACTTCAGATCAAGAGACAAAGTTTCAAGGTTTGCAAAGATTTCTTTTCAGGTCAAAATAAATTCTACCTCTCATCACACACTCCAGGAGCTAACAATAATATTTATGTAACAGAGGTCAATATTTATTTCAATGCCTCCGATAGGATTCAAACCTAGGACCCCTGGCTTACTAGTCTTGACGCTCAACTGATCAAGATAAGAAGAAGTTCTCTCTAGCTGAGCAGTATATGGTGACATACAATGTATATGTTATTAGAATAGATGAAAAGTGAAAAATATTCAATATCATATAACAGTTGTGTTATATTTTGTACTATTCCATATTTTTTCAAAATTATTTATTTTGTTTTGTATTTAAGGAATAAATTTCTATCTTGTTGTGGGTATCGGCAGATAAATGAATGTACAATTGAAGTTAAGTAAAATTGAATAACTGGTGAATCCCCTAATAACGATAAAATTGAATAACTGGTGAATCCCCTAATAACGATAAAATTGAATAACTGGTGAATCCCCTAATAACGATAAAATTGAATAACTGGTGAATCCCCTAATAACGATAAAATTGAATAACTGGTGAATCCCCTAATAACGATAAAATTGAATAACTGGTGAATCCCCTAATAACGATAAAATTGAATAACTGGTGAATCCCCTAATAACGATAAAATTGAATAACTGGTGAATCCCCTAATAACAATAAAATTGAATAACTGGTGAATCCCCTAATAATGATTAAGATAGAAAGTTATTCTTTCTCTTTACAGTTATGTTTTTATTGATTCCAAAGTTAACAGACACAAAAATAACAGAAATACTCCGTTTTGCTGACCTGAAATCTCAACAAACACAACAAACACATTTTTCACATTTCACATAATTCATGTATCACTTGCTAAAAATAAAAATTCGAACCTTGAAAGTTTGACAAAGAATGACATAGCATTTGCATACCAAAATGATAATCCTTAAAAACTTGAAGACATTTATTATAAAAAAAATAACCAGAATCAAGAATCTGATTTTTAACATCTTTTTAAGAATAAATTTTTAAAGAAATTTTTGATTTTAAGGTTCAGCTGTTGAGAAACAATAATGGTTGTTTGACTTACCATCAAAGAAAGGTTGCCTGTGGGTTTCCAGCTAGGCAACACTACGTGAAATATATTGCGCACCCGTTGAAACTTTCCAGCTGAAGTCACAGCAACATCACCAATACAGATCCCGTCTTTGTAAGTTGTATTGCATTCACGCTGGATTCTATTTCCACCCATTTTCAAAATTGTTTTTGAAACAAATCCGATATCTAGATCCAGTCTCTGATTAGTTGTGTTAACTAGAACATCCACCTTGAAAATAAAGATCTTATCTATTTAACAATCTGTGAAGCAGGAAACACAGCAGTTTTAGAACATCTTTATTTCACAAGTTAGATGACATTGTCTTTATGAATTATTCAAATTATCTTGTACCCATTATTCATTTACGATGACACTGTACCTGTGTTTGAGTTTATGTTCGCTGTGATCTTACTTCTGCACTATTCACACTGAAAGTATTGTGCTAAAATATGATCGTGCTTATTATAATTTCTTCATTGATATGCTAATTTATGAAAATGAGATAATGTGCTAAATTTTGATTGTGTAAAATTAAGTATGTTTATAGAAATTGATTTTTTAACTTCAACAAAAAAAAAACTAAATTTTATGATTCATTACATTCAAATGTTGTTGTCTTTTTAATTTTCACATTCAAAACATAAAAAAGATTACTTTTCTGTTTCGCTGTGGTGGAAGTAAAATTTATTTTCAATGTGTCAATTTATGAATTTATAAATTTATGTCACCAGCTATGTATGAATGAACAGAGACCTAAATAAGGCCACTTTCTAGGTCTCCGATTTACCAAATACATCACAGCAACCTAAGTGCATTTAATAAAAAAATGACAGCAATGCAATGGAGAAGTAAAATATTTCTATTAAAAACCTTTGCAAGTTTCATTAAAGCCAATCAGTAAAGGCAGAATGCTAACAACAGTGATGACAAACAGTATCTATACTGCAGTAAAACATCCAAATAGCTTATAGACAAATTCTGAATCAAATCAGAAGATGGGTTCATATCATATATGGACTTATTATAAGACATGTACTTATGATAGGATATTATCAGGCATGGCCTATCAACAGACATGGACTTATTACCAGACAAGTACTTATTACCAGACATGGACTTATTACCAGACATGGACTAATTATGAGACATGGGCTTATTACCAGACATGGACTTATTACCAGACATTGACTAATTATGAGACATGGGCTTATTACCAGACATGGGCTTATAACCAGACATGGGCTTATTACCAGTATGGACTTATTACCAGACATGGACTTATTACCAGACATGGACTTATTACCAGACATTGACTTATTACCAGTATGGACTTACTACCAGACATGGACTTATTACCAGCATGGACTTATTACCAGACATTGACTTATTATCAGACATGTACTTATTACCAGACATGGACTTATTACCAGACATGGACTTATTATCAGAACTGGTCTTATTACCAGACATGGACTTATTACCAGACATGGACTTATTACCAGACATGGACTTATTACCAGACATTGACTTATTACCAGACATGGACTTATTACCAGACATGGGCTTATTACCAAACATGTACTTATTACCAGACATGGACTTATTACCAGACATGGGCTAATTACCAGACATTGACTTATTACCAGACATGGGCTTATTACCAGACATGGGCTAATTACCAGTATGGGCTTAGTACCAGACATGGGCTTAGTACCAGACATGGGCTAATAACCAGACATTGACTTATTATCAGACATGTACTTATTACCAGACATGTACTTATTACCAGACATTGACTAATTATGAAACATGGGCTTATTACCAGACAAGTACTTATTACCAGACATGGACTTATTACCAGACATGGACTAATTATGAGACATGGGCTTATTACCAGACATGGACTAATTATGAGACATGGGCTTATTACCAGACATTGACTTATTACCAAACATATAATTATTACCAGACATGTACTTATTACCAGACATTGACTTATTACCAGACATTGACTAATTATGAGACATGGGCTTATTACCAGACATGGACTTATTACCAGACATTGACTTATTACCAGACATGGACTTATTACCAGACATGGACTTATTACCAGACATGTACTTATTACCAGACATGTACTTATTACCAGACATGGGCTAATTACCAGTATGGGCTTATTACCAGCATGGACTTATAACCAGACATTGACTTATTACCAGATATGTACTTATTACCAGATATGGACTTATTAACAGACATTGACTTATTATCTGTCATTGACTCATAACTAAATATGACGATACTGAAATTGTATTTTTTTCCATATAAACAGTGACTTTGCTATTTGTGTGATTGTATTTACAGAGCTAGAAATAAAAATATCAAAATTGACTGGGTATCATTGAATAATGCTTTTATTTACCTTTTGGTCAGTCAAAGATCCTTTCACTATCTCCATTTGGATTGGCGAATGCTTTTTGTCTTTTTCTTGATCTCCAAAACAAAGAAATTTCAGTCTTAAGAAAACAAAGAAATTTCAGTCTTAAGAATAACAGAAAGCAGAATCACCAACATAAAAATGATCAATGTAAACAAGAAGAACATCCAATAAAAGATCTTGTGAGCCCAGAGATTTCATCCGAAGACCACAAACCGGCTACAAAAGTCAGTAAACATGCAAATGATCGGGCATGTGATTTTCCAAGATACCTACAAAACAAGGCATTGCACACAATACAAATACCCTCACACCTCAAATTTGTATGACATGGTAAGAGTAAATGGAAACCCACACATATTCATAAACATGACCTCTTGTAAGAATCCATGTTTGTATCTTTTGTAGTATAAATGTAGGTTACAGCTACTATAAATAAGTAAAATTGTGCGTGTCTTGGATGGAAAATGGTGCCCGATTTGATGACAAGAATGTTTCTGGTTCAGATATGGTTTGATAAACTACCAAAATGATGGGTGGGTAATTTGATATGCTGATGATAAGCGTATCTTTTTAATGACAATGCATTTAGTAATCTTTTATTATCACAATTGAAGTCTCCCATTAAGATGATGGGATCAGAAGGCAAATAATACAGCTGTTTTATTTTTTATTTGATTGTAAATAATGTCAGAAAACATCGTGAGCGGTGACATTCGTATTTCGGCAAATTTCTACTTGTATTGTAGTAAAGTTGACCTAGTTTTTCACTATCAAAGATCAAAACTTCAACATGTACAATTGAGCCTTTTAGACTAATTCTTACATATTGATGAAAGTGAAACACATTTATTATTGATTGAACAATTACTTGGTCACAATATTTTCCAAATAACCAGTGAGTATAATTCAAATGTCACATATCAGATGCAATTTTCTTTTCTTCAAAACTTTATGAAAAAGTGGTTGAATGACTGAAAAAACAATACTTCAGATTTTTGGGTAGTCATTCAGTACAGTTCATAACATAAAATGTGCATGTCAAGATTCTGACAAAAAATTGTGTGTTACTTTTAACAATATGTAAGAATTATTCTAAAATAATGAAATAGGAGTTCAACAGAGTTTTGTGTGTAACATTATGATTACAATCATGAATTACCGTAAACAAGATTTATTGATCAAACAAGTGTTTAGCGATTACAATCATGAATTACTGTAAACAAGATTTATTGATCAAACAAATGTTTAGCGATTACAATCATGAATTACCGTAAACAAGATTTATTTATCAAACAAATGTTTAGCGATTACAATCATGAATTACCGTAAACAAGATTTATTGATCAAACAAATGTTTACCGATTACAATCATGAATTACCGTAAACGAGATTTATTGATCAAACAAGTGTTTAGCGATTACAATCATGAATTACCGTAAACAAGATTTATTGATCAAACAAATGTTTAATGATTACAATCATGATTACAATCAATTACCGTAAACAAGATTTATTGATCAAACAAGTGTTTAGCGATTACAATCATGAATTACCGTAAACAAGATTTATTGATCAAACAAGTGTTTAGCGATTACAATCATGAATTATTGTAAACAAGATTTATTGATCAAACAAATGTTTACCGATTACAATCATGAATTATTGTAAACAAGATTTATTGATCAAACAAATGTTTACCGATTACAATCATGAATTACCGTAAACAAGATTTATTGATCAAACAAGTGTTTAGCGATTACAATCATGAATTACCGTAAACAAGATTTATTGATCAAACTTATGTTTACCGATTACAATCATGAATTACCGTAAACAAGATTTATTGATCAAACTTATGTTTACCGATTACAATCATGAATTACCGTAAACGAGATTTATTGATCAAACAAGTGTTTACAGAAAACTGGAAGTAACTAACAAAATATTCAAAGGTAACATACCTTATCATGAAATTGACTTTGGATGTATTTAACCTTCAAGGCAGCTATTTGAATAAAACCAAAGTGAGCAAGGCCACACATTATCCCTCCTAAATGGTTTTGTTGGTTGGTTTACTGGTTTAATGTCTGCTTTCACTATGTTTATTATGAACAAAATCTGTTTGTAAGATCATGACATGTGTGCACAATGTTCACAGATGCGTTGACTAACAAACATACCTATTCACACATGTATATTTCATACATACAAGGAAACACAGACAAAGTGATAAATACATACCCCACCTTTACCCAAGATGGAGATATGGGAATAAAATAATGTTTTCATTTTCTATTAGTTTAGAAGATATTCCTAATTTTCTTTAATTCTGGGAAAAAAAACAAAAATATTGAGTAAAGGGGGAAGCATTTTTTTGACTGTAAAACTGGGTACACATATCACTAACCTGTTAATGTTAAGTGGACACAAATCCAGTTACCTAATTAGGTATGCATATACAACAGAACACATTAGATATCTTAAATAACTTGATTTGGTCCCTGAAAAATTGATAACTTGGCTTGGCACATAATGCATATGTTTAATAAAAATACATTGCACCAGTAATTGTGTGGAAAGCACTCATGTTCATAAATTAATGAATAAACTTGTCAAAATTTCACAATTTAAAATCTGATACACCGCATTTTCATACCTTAGATGCTTTTTTCCAATATAAAATTTGTCCTGATGACGGTCGCATAGCGGCCGAAACATGTAGACAGCTTTACAAAAAGTCTTCGTGTTGTTGGGATTCCTTTTTGTTTTATCAAATTTTAAATCTAGTAAAAGTTATTTCTGTATCTGTAGAGATATATTGACAGATATAGAAAAATTGTAAATAAATAAAAAACTCACCTTTTATCAGTTTTGAAAAATCTAAATTCCAATGCCTTTCAGGTGGAAGAACTTGACTAAAAATAACCCTGGTAACACCAAGGTCCTTTTCATTACAGTACAGGTATATTTCTTTCAAATGTTTCAGGGTGCCAACAGATTTCAACAAACATTCTGCTACAGCTTGAATACAGTTTGCTACAGGTATGACATCAGACAATTCAAATGGAATAGCTAAGCTGAAAAGTTCTTTTGAATCAGCAAGTTCCAATGTTTCTTTAACTCTGGCGGCAACAACAGATTTTGATACGGACATTTGGCTTCCTTTTTCCTTTTGTGAAGGGAACACAGTGTAGATGATGCTTTGACAGTCAAGGTTGCCAGTCTCGTCGCTGAAGTATGTCCAAGGGTCAGATTTTCCTGTACTGCTGGATTGGCCATGACTGCTATTGTGTTGAATGTCATTTTTTAAAGAGTTTCCTCCTTTTAGGAATAAAAGCAGAAAAAAATTAAAAAAAAAAAAAAATTATTCCTGCAAGACAAATCGCTTCAACACCAGGAGGTATTATGGAATTATAGATATGTAAATGCATACCTACAAAGGCAATTCATATCTTAACAAGAAATGCCTTATTTCAATCTGAACACATTTTACCATGAATGAAAGTTGGACAAGTCTTTGAAAGCAAGCTAATAGGCAACAAAGGAATGTGCAATTCTTCAAATCCTACTGAAACAGTGTCACATCATATTTGTATCCGCCAGATCCTATTTCAGAGCTTAACATGAAAGAAAATTTCGGAACAAAAGTATATATTTTATATTTTTGAGTCGGTTTCATTTACAAATTATAAATTTAGTACAGATTCTAAACCTCTATAAACATGTTAGATGGTCAGTATGATTTGGTTTGCATTATATATAAAAAGTACACAAAAGAAAAATGTATCAGTGAAAATGATGAATACTTCCCGAAAATGACTTTATTGGACAAATAAATTAAAGGGCAATAATTCTGTAATTTGGTTGCAGGCAATCAATTCATACTGCTCATTCTCATAGTATGATCAATGTATACACCAAGTTTCAATAATTCCTAAATATTGCAAAAGAGAGTTATGGTTCTTGTACACTGCACTTCTCCTATTCGAGATCTACCTACTTATTAAATTTCATGTGGATATCTCTTTAAAGTTTTTGTGATATGCTCCAGACAAAATTATAACAGATGGAGGGACATACAGATGGACAAAGTGGTGACTATATACTCTCCCTTCTGAAAGCCTAAAAAATTAATGCCATAAATTTACCTAACTCCAAATTAAGGTTTTGGATGAAGGGAAACTTACAATCGTATCGTGGACCTGAATTATCCCTTGGGCTTTCCCTTGGGCTGCAAGGACTCTTACTCTTTCCTCAAACTCATTGGATTGAACAATTTCTGTATATCATATACCGGGTACTTACCATGTGCCATGATTGCCTGTCCAGCACCGATTGGCCTCATATTACCATCGACAGGACATACCACAGCATACATGGTGTGATTTGTCTCTGCTATGCTTCCTTGAACCAGCATCAGGTAATTGGAATTGTTCAGAACCCAGGTATTTGATGGACAGGGTTTTCTGGGTATCTTTGCCTTTTCCATTGATAAGTTACAGTGGTTAAGCATCTGAAATTGTTGCTTTTGTCGTTCATCTGAAAGTAATTCAGGAAGGAAGTTCATACTTTGACTTTTGCTTGTGATATCAGAAATACGGCTTTCTAGAGCAGATTTTATAGCACGTACGTCTTTCTCATGTCCTAATAACTTAAGCTGTCTTTTGTCTTCAGATGAAATTAGACGCACACCATACATTTCTTGTGCTTGTTTAAAAAAACTGGACTGATTCTCCAGGAGAAATGCACAGATTCCATCAGACAATTCCAGAGAGACTGACATTTCAGTGTTGATCTTTTTATCAGAAGCTTTAAACACTTGAATAATTTCCTCCATGGCATCTGTTGTTGCAACTAATGGAAACTCATCACTTGCCGACAGCATTTTAGCCTTCCCTTGGTATTTTTCCAGCACCTCTTTGCAGGCATCTTCGTTTAACAGCTCTTGTACACGTTGGAAATCTGCACTTAAAGACCTAACAGATACCATTCCACCAATGCTATGTGCTGCAGCAGAAGCTTCTTGTACTGTTAGTGCATATACATATACAGTAAGTTCTGTTCCAAGCTTCCAAACACATCTATGTTCGTTCCTTTTCAGCTTGTTTGAAACATAGTCTTTAGCTTTCTGGTTTTTAAGAAGACCTCCACAATCTTTCTGTAGAGAACATGCTGCCTTATCTTTCTCTATCCTGTGAAGGACCCCCTTGATGTCTTCCTGAATATGTTTGATGTCCTCTTCCAATGCCTCTATCACAATATATCCATTTTCAGTTGTGTAATGTCTTTCTGGTACTTTACTACAAACATCAGCCAACCTCAAATCAATCCACAAACACAATTCAAAATCTGTAACTGCCAACCGTTCCTTTTTTTTGTTTGAAGCTTGAGGTGGTATTTCCATCTGCACAGCTGCATGTTGCATCTGACTTCCACAGGCACTGGATTGTATCCACTTTGTAATATCTTTACTTACATCTGAAGTCGCTAAAACATTGACTCCTTCTGTTGTTTCTTCTATGATAAGCCTTTCAAATTGTTTCTGACTCAGGCCTAACAATCTTGATGACATCTCCATAAAACGTGTAAACTGACTTGCTGAAAAAGCAAATACTTTAATGTTTTCCTTTATTTTGCAATGAGCCACCTTCAAATCAGATGCTTGTTGATATACAAGCTGTAGTTTGCCCTCCCTTGAAACACCCAATGCACACGATATGTTGTCTTCCTCCAACAAACTGTTGATATATGATTTTGTCACAGGTTTCAAAAGAAGTTTAGTCGGAGATGGTGGCATGTCAAATCTTTCTGTTTTCAATCCACGGAGAAATTCTACCACCTTATTTCTACATTTTTCAATCTCATTTGCTCTTCCTCTACATTTCACTTTTTTGTTGCAATCCTGCAGATGAATGTCAACTTTTGGAAAATCTTGATTCAACTTATCAAAAATGTGGAAAGATCTCAGGACATCTCCATGTAATTCTGACTGTAAATCAATTATACTTTCTACTATTGATAGTTCATAATTTTTCATGTCAGCTTTAGCATCTTTGAATATTTCATCCACAGATTTTTTAAATCCCACAATGTATAAACAGTCCATGGCCTTATCATAAAAAACATCAACTTCACCATCTGTGTTCTGTATAGCTGGCATGAGAGAGGACAGAAACCTCTGGAGGGAATCATTGATATCATCAGAGAATAACTCCAATTTCCTCGCCTTCAGGACATTTCGCTGATCTGAAATCCATTGATGCACAGCTTGTTCACATTCCCTAACCTTATCAGTTGAAATAGAAATACAAGGCAACCCTTTATAGTGTCCAAATTCCCAGCCATGAGCATCTAGATACCCTTTACGGTGTTTGAACAAGTACTGTCCATAGTATACCTCATCTCTAAGAACAAAGATGTAAAGTTCATCATTCCTTGGTTTCCTGATACATACTCTGCCAGTGGTCCAAACGCTATCAACATGATAGGTCTGGGGTGAATCTGAAAAAACAACAACCATATATTTAATGATGAAAAAGACAGACTAAAATCAATATTATAAAACCAGAACACCATTATATAGTCAATACCATATATAGAACTGTCACTGATCCAAGAGAGCTGTGATTTATTCTGAATGCTGGCTCGTAATGGAATATGTTTGCTTATTGTTGAAGGAAACCAGAGAGTGCAAAAGAAACCTAGATGTTTGGCAGAAGACTCTATGTGTTTTTCAAGTTGGATAATCAAACTGTGATCACCTAAATGAATGGAGAATGTGACACTGTGCCACCTGATCATCAGAAAAATGATTAAAAGTAAATAAATGGCAATTACTGTGTAAATCACCTGGATTTCATGAATGCTTTTTTTCACAGACTTACCTCTTCAGATATATTTGCATATATATTATTTCGCAAACACTCATCTAGAAATTACTTAAAATTTTTGCGAATGATGAGCTATAAGAGACACAGACTCTTTGAGGCTCTGATATTGGTAACGAGTCAAAATGGATGCCAACAAGAATTATTTTTGTACAAATATTTGTAAGGGATACAAATCCAAGATTAACTCTCCTATTGTATTAATGTGAAAATCAATCTCACAAGAAACATTGGTAAGTGATTTACAGAAGTCTAACAGTTTAGCATGACAACTAATCTTTGTATGTTTTGACACTCGAGGTGTTTCTTGTGTGGAAGTTACATAATGGAGTATAACATACATCCTGGACAAAGTGCGGCAAGGTGAATGAAGTGTGTAATCAGATGCATTTCAAATGATAATGAGACATAGAAAGTAACATTAACCCAAATATAATTTGTACAGCCAGGAGCCACAAGTATAATCATGCTTTCAAATATTCCAGCATAATCTAGCTCTGACCCAAACCAAATACCCTGGTAAGCCAAGTTCAGTTGAAAGATACTGAAATGTTAACTCTTGTTCAGGGACAAGGGTGATTTTGGAGGATATGGACAATATTGTTTTTCTCTCATGCATGATTTCTTGAACATATCTGACCTCTGTGACATTATGTGAAACTTGAGGCCATGCGTTCATTTGATTACCATCCATCATCTGAACTGAACATGGGCTGAAAGTAGTATCAACATAATGCCATAATATATGGTACCAATTTCCCCCACAGATTTGATATATAGGGGATGGAAATTGACTAATTTTAACATGTTGAAATAAATTCTGGTGTTTACATACATACCTTTTTTTCTTGGTTGGGAATTTGTGGATACAGGCGGAATCCATTTATCTTCCACACCAGTGCTCTCACCACCTTCTGCCATAACTATTTAAGCTAATTTGACCAAAAAAATTTCTGTAATTTCTCTTCACATCATAAACAGTTTTGTTGGAGAAAACCTAGTTGCTGAAGCAAAAAAACAAGAAACAAAATCAATAAAATTTCAGAAGAAGGTCAAGATCAAGAGGTAATTTTTTATGCAATTCCACATCACCTGGGCTTAATTGCATTTTACATTTTTCAGAAAGCTGATCTTAAATGAACCATCACTGGTGCCTAGATTTTCATTTTAACAAAATCTCCCTGTACTTTTTAGCCTTTCTTCTCCATACTAAGAAGTACCTGGTGACACATTTGTAGGATAAAGTATGAAAAACAAAACTAAATGACCGTAAATAAACTAGTTGCTTTTACTTTCACACACGGTTTTTATCACGTTTCAACACCTAATGTACAGAGCACACAAAACGTCAACAGCACAATAATTGTGTGATTAATCATTCGCTGTAGCATGCAACTTTTTCTTAATTTCTTGCAGCACTAACCAGTTAACCAAAATAAAGCGGTGTTTATTTTCTTGATACTTTCAACCCTGAATGTCATTGTTACATGTAAATTTCACTCTATCCAGTCATTTCCTGGATTATATCAGTTTCCTAGTAACCTAATGATAACCTTATACAACGCTCACTGTGTCTTCTCGCCAGGAAATACAGCAGTTACAACAATATATTTCATACCAACAATTTAACACTGTACGGAAATTCTACTTTCGGTTTGAAAATGTAACGTTTGGGTGAAATTTGTCAATGTGCAGTTTTTTTTTCAAATTTATGTATCTTCCATCAAGTGTAAAATGCCTTGATAAATGAAAACAACAGGTGTTGTAATCATTACAATAAGATGTCTCACCGAGAGTCTTTTTCTACATCAACAGGCGCATTTCTTTACTCTAATATGGACGTCGCATTTCAGCAGAAACGAAAGTAGAAATACCAACTATATATCTTCGTCCAATCAAATTGCAGATAACATACAATTCGGTGACGTATTTGTTCAATCTTGTCTGTAAGTAATAATGTTGTTAAAACTCTTTTCGTAGTACTTATTTGTGACTTTTTATTGCAGCATGGCCACCTAGGATGTCGTTTTGCTTCATATTGCCAGACATAACAAAAGTTGAAATATTCAACAACCCGAGTGATTTTAAGACGAGCAATCCAATTGGACAAGGCATTAGGTCATTTCGACGGGAGCGGTTAAAACGGTTTGATGGCAGAACCGAGTCTTTTTTACTTATTCGCAATCCCATTGTTTATCTTTAATTTTCTTTCGTTTACGACAAAATATCAAAAATATAACACAAAGAACAAAATCACTGAAGGAATATTGAAATAAAATAACAGAACATGCATAATGTATAAGGCATGGCATCACCATAAAATGAGTTTTTAACACAACTAAAAGGGAGTTCATAGCACAACTAAGAATAATTATAGCGTAACAAAATTACTAAATTAAATACAATCAAATATGTTAAAATGTACCCTTAGTGTAATTTTATATTTAGATATAATGTTAAGAATGCCGTAAAAATAATAACGAAAACCCCGTCAAAATCCGTCGCCCCAGTGTCGAGTTATTAAAGCTCAAAGTTGTCGATTTTCACCTGTCCGCTCAGACCTAATCAACGTCAAGCAGGGACGTATATATCACATAAGTTTCTTGTCACGTGTTAAACCGAAAAAATTCTGCCATTTGAGCTAGTTTCGGACCAAATTGTCAGATGGATAGAAAACTTTTTGAAGGGGGGAAAACAGCATGTAAGAATAAATGGCAAAGAGTCTGAATGGAATGACGTATCATCTGGCATTCCCCAGGGATCATTCCTAGGCCCCATGTATTTGTCATTTTGGTAAATGATTTACCAGATATAGTAAAATGTCTATTAAAACATATAAACTTTATGTTGCACAGCGAATTAGAGTTACCTGCCCTTGTTATCCTGAGGCCGGGAGAAAAGAAAAATGGCAACAGCCCGAAGGCGGAGAATTACAAATCGTAAAGCTGGGGCTACTGGAGACCCGGTAGGTTCTTATAAGTGAGTATAATATGAATGTTAACTTATAGTTGAAGTGAGTGTTGAAATAATAGTTTCAGATTTTAGACTGAAGTGATAAGGGAGTTATTATTATTATCTTTATTTTCCTCCAAATATGAAGATTTACAAAGACAACTATATAAACAGCAATAAATTACATAAATTTACACACGTACACACCAACACGCACATATATATATATACAGTTACAATATGTTTTGATAGTTAATTAGAAGTATTTCACTAAATTATTCTTTCAACACATTTTCAAGATATAGGGTTTTGGTACTTATATGTACCAGAAAAACAGATTACTGACAATAGTTTTTCAACATTTGACATACATATGAGATAGCGACTAATCTGAAATCGTAGAGAGGAGCAGTACATCAGGTCAAAAGTCAGTTAATGCTTCCTGAGGTAAAAATCCTGTGAATGAGAGCAGAGACGTATATATATGTCTCTGATGACAGGTAGAGATGCATGCCTGATAATGGCCGGGGTGTGTACCTCAGTGTTGAAACACCGTGGCAGAATATCGCCGGTATGAGTTATCAGAACAGGTAGATGCTTTTTTTTTCTTCTGTCTGCCTCGCACTGGCGAACACATTTGTAAGTAAACAAGATAAGAAACAGTGTATAAGGTAGATCAAAGATGGGAAGTTGATAATGGATACTCTTAGTCGCATGTGCCTTCATAATTAGATGCTCCGTGGGTTGGGTTGTTGTTGTCCAATAGGGACTAGGCTGAAATTAAGTATTTGGGTATTATTTATATTAAGACAAAAGCCAGCAGAAGTTAGTCTGAGATCGAGTAGCTAGAAAGAGTTGGGAGTTGGATGTGGAGAGGGGCAGAGTCCCGTATGGGACCTGCTCCGCGATGGAGCGGGCCCTGGCCAAGTTGGCTTAAGGACATTTGTATGGAACTCTTTGATATGGACAGGTAACCTATAAAACATCAGGATGCTTCTGTATGTTGATTAGGAACTATCTTTTGTAATGGATATTAAGGTGAAGTACTAACTATGGAAAACCGCTATACAATGAAATTAAAGTTTTGGCCAACCCAAGTAAACACTATGCTTAGTCATTGTGTTACACGACATCTCCCCGACATAACCCCAATCCCATCCCTAACCAGCCTATGCCTATATATCATTATGTACCGGGTTGTGTTGAAATGAAATTCATTAATTTATTATGATTTCAGAGAACTGAATTCTGTTGATATTGGGCCTGCAAGGGGAAAGTGTCTCGGGGCAGATGATAGACCTACTCTTGGATTATATTCTGTCTGGATATTAGAAGACACAGAAACTAACGATGACTATGTGAAAATCCATTTCATAGGTAACTGTCAAATTAATTGTTTTCAATTTATTAATTCCAATTGAAACTCTTGTCTCAAGTCGGAATTAAATCGGAATTAACAATATCTATATAAAGCCCTGAGAATTACATTTGGTAAATATGATATGTATATCAATGAAATATTTAAGTGTTTTTCATTGCATCATAATAACCTTCTACTTTCAATCATACTGCTTTCAAGATCTGCAGACAGAACTTTGAATGAATTTGGAAATTCCCCCTAAATCATATATACAATATGAATATATAAGCACATATTTATAATTAGCTAGTTTTATTTTGATTTTATGATGCCTTCGCCATTAAATAGGTTGGGGGGGGGGGGAAATCAGGCGTTGTACCCATGTTCATCTGTCTGCCACATTGTGCCCTGTCCCAAATCACTATATATAGCGATCCACTGATTATAAGGTAGCCGAGACACATTTTTATAGTTCTATATCATACAAATATTTTTGTATACTATTCCATTTCTGTTACAGGTTGGATTAAAAAATATGATTGACTGATAGAAGATAAATTGGAACCATTCATTCATTGAAACTGAAAACAACCCTCAGGCTCTGGAGGATCTAGGTGTCCTTATCAAAGAACACCTTACTGTTGGTACCAAGATTGACAGTTTTGTATGCCTAAGGATTCCATTAGTTGAAAAAGATTTTGAAATATTAAGAATTGTTGCTATTGTCCACGAAGTGACAAGATCTAGGACCACATATACTATTACATCCAGATTTATATTGACCAAAATTTTCAGGAAAACTTGGGACTACCGTGTGTTGAATGCAGAAGGGGACAATTGCTATGTTAAAACTGTCACTTTGGAATTATATTTAAGAGTACGAAGAGATTTGAGAGAATATGAAATCAAGAAGAAACCTGAGAGTGATCAACTGGAATTGAAATTGAAAGCTTGTTCAAATTCTAGAGGAACACAGCTAGTATTTACTTTTGTGTACTAGCAACCACAGAATGTTGTCACATCTCCTTAATGACCCCTTACTTTAAATAATCAAAAGACTTCTGCTTTTATGACTTTGTTGGTTAGAAATCTTAGTTATACTGTCATAGAAAATGGTTGTAACTTCTAGAGAAATTTTGTATGAGATTTTATCATCAGATCAGTTTTGGAAGAAAGCTTTAGATTTAAAAGAGCAGAGCTTTTTCAGATTAAAGACAAAGGCTTTGAAAGCTAAAGTGGGAATCAGATCAAGAAGTTTAAGGAGGGACTCGGGTTATCAAAATATAGTTGGGATGTCATGGTTGACAAGGAAGAGACACAGTTAATGGTTGAGACAATAAAGACAGTCAGTCAGAAGCAGTTAGAAGAAAAGGAAAAAGAAAACAATGACTTAAGAAAGAAGTTATGGAAGTTTAGTTTAGCAACAGAAACTAATGATATGAAAAAACATCGAAGCGCAAACAATTCACAGAATGTACGCCTGGGTATCAATCAAAACTTTGGAAACGAGACACAGATAAGTGTAGAACAGCATTGAGTTTTCTGACAGAAAATGGGGTTACTCCTATTTCAGTATCAGTTATGAGAAATAACAAAGAAGAGTTTTTGA